CATGAGTCACCTTTACACTGGCAAGGAGCAATTCCTCCAACTCACATCTGAGGGTTTGATCTGTAACACGCTTCCTATTCATAAAGATACATATCCATACATAAAAAACATCCTTCCTCTCATCACTCCTTTTGTATTCCTCTCTTTGCTGTCTTCTCCTGTGTCCCTGTCTCCCAGCTTGGAACCTGGGACTTCCCCATCTCTTCTAGAGTCAATTTCCTTCACCATCTCTTATCTCTCATCTAGGACCAGAGGCTCTCTTAGGGCCACCTCTGCCTTACCTCTCTTCCCAGGAAGCGTTCTTTCTCATCTTCTGCCAGGATGTGTTGTTGACTTTCCTGTGCTCCTGAGACTGCTGTTCCTCTGGTCTTTTCCTGGCACCTCACATCTTCTCCATCATCCTGCTTCTCAGAGCCACAATAATCGCACTCAGTCTGTGATGACTCTGTGCTGCTAATGCGGAGAGGTTCCATCATCTGGGTTACCTGCAATACAGAGATTTATTGCTTCAAGTCGTGAAGGCAAAAGGAAGAAGACATAAGCAGCACAGATGCTATTTTTGCTTTCGCTCATGAACGCCTTTCCATTTTTAGGAATCCTTGCAAAATCTTCCAATGAAGCCGTGTGTTATTATTACAGTGTCAGTTCACTGACATCTCTATGCTTTAGGGTGAGCTGTGTTTTGGCAAAGCAGCTGCCTGGTTGCCGTGCCAGCTTTAAATGGGAGGAAGGGCTAGGCCTGGAACAGGGTGCAAGTGAACTCAGAGCATCTGCTCCTCCCCCAGACTGTTTCTGTGAGCAGGGATGGTGGAGGCCTTGAAAACCCTAATGTTTCAGGACCGCCCTAACTAAGCCACCCACTTTCCTTTCATCCAAACAGCCCTACCTCTGAGAACTGGAGAAGACTGTCGTCTTCATATGGCCTCTCTGCCTTTTGGTAGTCTTCACTGTCATCCTCCCAAGGAGGCTCACTGAGCTCCTCATCTCCCTCTCGGCTGCTCTCCTCTAGCTTCCTTATGGCTGCCTCTTCAGTATTCCGCCAGCTCCTCAGGTCTAGATCCAAGCTTGAATCCCAGTTGAAAGGAGACTCGAAGTCACTGTTCTCTGACTCACTGGAAGAGTCCGTCTCAGACTCCCACTGCACCCAGCCATGGCCCATCTGCAAAGGAACATCAAGAGAGAGACAGCAATTACTTTGTACCCTGGTCCAGAACTGCAAAGCCCAGCTCATTTCCTGACATACTGAGGGAGCCAAAGCATGGGCAAGACTCCCTGAGGCGAGCAGCTTACACCCGTCCACACTGGACAGCTCATGGCAGGGCTCTGCCACAGAAACTGCCATTTCAGAGCAGCTGAATTTCACTTTTTCTGGTGCTTTCAGGGGCCGGTGGGCTACTGGGGGATGCTGAACTAGTTAGGAACCCACAGGTTTGTTGGCTGCTGGATGTTTAATGTGCTAAAGGCTTCCAGCAGCAAGCTCACATCAAGTCATCAATGCTGCGGCTCATGAGCTGCTGACACTTGTGAACAACTAGTGACTCCAAGGACAACTCACTGAAATTCCCTTTGCTGCCCCTTGAGACTTTTTATGCTGGAAATAACTTATAACAAACCCTACAGATACTTTGTTTTGAGAGTGACAGAGGTGATTAGAGGGATGGTGGTATCCTGTGTACCTGAGCCAGAAGAATTATAACCATGCACAGTCACATACTGACAGGTGACAGTTCTACACATTTCAGAAAACAAAAGTTAGCATTCTTTTAAGGAGGAAGAAACTATTCATTTAATCTCTGATCATTAGTCCATGCCTTCTACTGCACGAGTCCGCTATTGGTTCTCTATGTCTGGGGAACTGCTTGCAGAGTCACACTAACAACAGTAAAGGCTGTTAAAAAAAGCAGTATCCTGCCACTGAACTCAGCTGCCTGGATGCTGTACCTATGGAGAATTCGATGCATTAATTAGCAGTGTCTTTGGAGTTTACATTTAATTACGTACAACCTAATTTCTTCAGTTTTGAACAAGCACGTTTCTCCCTGGTTTCCTTTTGCATTCTCAGGGCTGCTAGCACAGCTACAAATACAGCTTACGGTGTATAACTGGGAGAAATAAGGAATCCATTTGGTTTGGAGTGAGAAAATTTGTTTCTTTTTTACAAACATACAATGACAGCTGAGATCTGCATGGCCATCCTTCTGAAAACTCTTTCAAAGTTAACTTCAGCAGAAGCAGATAAAGTTTGATGAGGTACTAGATAACATTACCTGCTCTCAGCTTCCAGCTGAAGGAGTTGAGCAAACTGCAATTTCATCTGAAGAGTGACCCCAGGCCTACAGCACTTTCCTGCACCATCAGCAGAGCTGGCTGCACACGCACAACCAGCCACCGCCGCGCAGCTGAAGGGCAGAAAAGCCCTTCAGCCTAGGGTACTCCAATCACTTGTGATCATCTTTCTGTACTCCAGTTGAGAGGGATAAGCATTTTAAAATCAAGAAGCCTTTGGAACTTAGGTATAAGCATCGATTAAAAAGATCATCAGCCTTATGTTCAGTTCTATTAAATCTTGAAGACTGAAGATGCCAGAGAGTGTAACAGCAGCATTAGTGCAAGACAAGCGGGATGAGTGAAATAATTACGGGCTGCTTAGTTCCATACCAATTCCGTACAAAAAGTGAGGGACAAAAAGATAGACTTCAACTTTTAATTGAGAACCGCTTGGCAGTTCTTAATTATGTGGGCTACATAAGGCATCAGCAAAGAACCATTAACGAATTGGAAAGTTTTAGTTTGCTTTGCAGAGATCAGACATTGCACAACCCTTGCAGATATGAGGAAAAGCTGTTAGAAATAAAAGAGATGGCTTTTAAAAGGAGCTTATGTGTCAAAAAAATAAAAATGATAAAAGCCCAAACTCTAGTAAATGAAATGTAGAATCCATAAAGGAGTGGGGGGGGGTGGAAGAAAAAAAAGAAGAAAAAAATTGCTATAGATATAAAAGCAAATAAAAACAAACTTCATCAAAAACATCAGAAGCAGAGAACTGCCAGATGATTGGGGCGATGACGCATGATCAGTGCCAAACATCGCAGTGGAAAATAGGGCCAGTTGGAAAAATCAAATTAATCATCATTATCAGCAGCTGCCACAGAGATCACACGAGACTTTCTCTTGGGATGGGTCTGAGAGACTGTTTCTAATTAAAATGTCAACAGGGGAGGTTTTAGAACAATTTAAACCTTAGAATCAGTTGGGATCCACTTGTGCATCCTAAAGAAGCTTAAATACAACAGGACCAAACCTATGCTGTATAACCTGTCATTTAAATTAGCCACAGAACATGAAAAACAGAAGGATGGGATTGTTATTATCTGTAAAAGGGTGGATGTCAGGACATGCACCACAGTAAGCCTCAGCTCTGCACTAGACAGATTAGAACAAAGTATTAGGAAGAACAGAATTAGTAGTCAGAGTCTGAGATGATGAATTGGGAAAGAGGCAATAGGGCTCTGAAGAGGAAATTGTATCAGAGATTTTTAAAGATCTTAAACATCATTAAAGGCTATTAAAATGCAATGGGACAAGAGAAAGACTCTGAGGGAAAAATACCCAGTTAAGAGAAGAAACCAAGGATAGGCATGAACAGCAATGCTTTCCATAATGCAAGCAAGTTACTAGTGGACACAATAAAGGTCCTACTGCATACTCCAAATTTTCAATACGGACGAAGACAGGGCTGAGGTGTTACAGAGGAGATGGAACCAGGCTCCTCTCAGTGGCTAGCAGTGAGAGGAGGCAGTGATGACAAGCTGCACCAAAGGAAATTCAGACTGGATATGAGGTAACTGTTTACTCCATGTGGGTGGGTAAGCACTGAAACAAGCTGTCCACACTCAACTAGATAAGGCTCTGAGCAACTTGATCTACCCTTGAAGCTGGCCCTGCTTTGAGCAGCAGGTTGAACTAGTTCAATGTCCTTCAAACTTTATTCCATAAAATATCAGAGATCAAAAGAAACCTGTAACTTTTTGTGCTATGAATTTAACAACCTGTAATATCCAAAAACTAAGGCCATAAGAACTCACATCAAGAATTTGTTTCCAGTTTCAGTAGTGAAAACTAACCAGTGAGCAAACCAAAGGATTTGAACTTCTCACATCAAATATAGAGTGACTCTTGGTGGAAATACACCTGAGCCAAATATAGGGCTCAACACAGCAGGCACAACCAATTCCAACAAAAAACTTGTGAAAATAAAGGTACAGGTAACAATTCCTCTGGTCTTAATCACAGTGACTCAGTTTCCTGCACCTTGTGTGTCAGACAGCTGCACCCTTTACATGCTGCACAAAGAGGTGTGTGCACTCCCAGCTGCCTTTTTTTTTTTTTTTGTCCTCTAGAAAGTCATGAGGATGGAAAATAGGCAAGTTTCATCTCACAGGTCACATGAGCAGAAAATAAAATCATTTGCACGTTGTCACAGAGAACTTAAACCTCAGTAAATCATCCATGTTGCCAAGGAAAGGAACTGTAATTTCCAGTAGTGAGAAAGGGCTCACAAGCTCAGACGTGAAGCCAGGTACCGGCATGCCTACAGCTGCTGGAATCACAGATTTTCACTCTGAGTCGTGTACCCTTTACAAATCTCTGGGGAAAGGAGGAGAGGTACATTTCAATAAATGGGTCCCTTAAGGAAAGCTTCAACAAGACTGTAGTAGTTAACTTCTCAGGGTTAAACTTCCCGTTTTATCATAACAGTGCCATATTCTCACACACTCAAGCAGGGAATCTTACCTTCACACAAGCACTATGGAACATTCCCACAATTAATGGATTGTCTCTAATGCCAAAGCTCTGCCATGCTTGTGTGCTGTACAGTAACTGGAAGAGAGTCATGTGTGCAGATACTCCAGCGGGGTGTGCATGCTTGTACAAAACCAAGTGTCCTTGCTGCAGAGCTGTGATGCTCAGAACACTACACACTGTACACTGGATTTGTTCCCAATTTTAATATACATACACATTTACACGTCACTAGTAAAAATCTGTACACTTCACATTACAGTACATACGAGCCACCAGTTGCTAGCTAACACCAGAACACTGATGAAGCCCAAGACGACTGCCCTAAAACAGGCAGGGGGGCTAGTCTTCCCGTCCAGGGAAGTTTCTTTGGGTTACACATTCCAATGAGACACTGCTTTCCAGAGGGGCAAGTGAAGAAGGTGGAACAGGTCCCAGAAATGGACCTGAAGCTTTTCTTCCTCCTCCAACAGCTGTTACCAGTATCTTGCTTGCACTCCAGCTCTGGATTGGGTTTTCTGTCTGCCTGCAGCATCATTTCTTCATCTTCATGTCTGCCTCAATGGCACAGCGACGCCCTCTGGTGCCTCCATCCTAGTCACAAGGCAAACAGAAAGAGTTATGCAACTCTAAATACAAAACGCTTCCTCCAGGGAAGGTAAGGAACTGTGCATCTGGCAACAGTTTTTCATGCCTTCCCAAGAGGAGAAACGGAAGGTGTCCTATGGCGGCTTGGGGAGGCCTGCCTGCAGACCTACCTAAAAATTGGCTCTGGACAGAGCACAGGTGCTGGGATTTGCAGCATCTCTGCATGCTGCTGGCAGCCAGGGCAGAGAGAGGCCACGAGGCTCTTGCCCAGACAGATGCTTTTGGAGCCTGTACAGTACAGGCTTTCTCCTAAGTGTCAGACTCTACCTTGGCTTTTAAGATGGGAAGAGGAAACTGCTGACTAACCTACCTTATCAGCTGCTGATCCCTATGGAAGTGCTCCTCCAGATGAGTGACCCTGGCACTAGCTCCCTAGTTTCTCCGCACAGCACCTTTCCATGAGCAGAAGGCGAGCTGAGAGCTTCCTTTGATCCGCTGCCCTCTCCCTCTGGCTGACATGCTGACTCTCCTGGAGTACTCCTCTGTCTTTAGATATATGCGAGAAAAAAACAACTCTCCATCTTCCTCCCCTCTCTCCTGCCCGCAACTCAGAGACTTGGGGTTTCCCAGAGGGAATATTTTTCCAGACACTTCAAATCACCACAGGCACAGAGCAAGATATTTCTGCAGAGTATCTGATTTGCTTTCTGGACCATGAATGATAAAGGAGTACACAGCTGACTCCTCACTTTCCCAAGACCTTTTGTACTGTCTTGAACGTGTGGAAGGGGCAGCTGTATAAGCATGGCAGACATGGGAACTAGAATACTGCACCACTTGGTCTGTTTTCCCACTTACAGAGAAAAAAAGCAGGAGGGAAGTTGTGGAAAAAAGCAAAAGCAGATGACAAAATAAGAACAGTTGGAACCAGAAGAAAACACTGAAGCCCCTCCCACTCACCCACGCTGAGAATGAGGGACTGAGAAGTTTCTTCTCTAATGATCATGGTTGTACAGCCCCCAAGTTAAACACACACCGCTGCAGTGCTAAGGATGCTGTGACAGTGCAGGGAGCAGAGCACGCTGCCAGCAGTACTGCAGTACCTGCTGGAGCCTTTCAATACTTACAAAGAGAGAGAGAAGGAAGGCAGGAGAGCCCATTGGGACACTGTCCTGTTAAAAGGCCAAACAGAAGGACTTATCAGATATCGGATATGGAAATGCACACACCACACAGAAGCACTGAGCCCACACACGAGCATAGAGAAACACGTGCCCCACAGCCCTTCCTGCATGGCATCAGTCTTATGCAGCAGGAACACAAAAATGGACAAAAGAGGGATGCTGCGAGAGTCAGAATGCTAGGAAAGGGATATTCCCCTGCAGCCATAGCAAGGCCTGGTCTACCTAACCATTTCTGCACTGTTCAGTTGCCACTATAACTCAGGAGGCAGTCTTTGCTGTCACAGTGCTGTGTGCACCAGCTGAGAGCAGTCGAGATCACTTAATCAAGTTTGGATGCATCAAAGGTTCTCTGGTGTGTTTTACACAGCAAAGGTGGAGGCCCCATCCCTGGAAACATTCAAGGCCAGGCTTGATGAGGATCTGAGTAGCTTGATCTAGTTGGAGATGTCCCAGCTTATAGCAGGGGGGTTGGACTAGATGACCTTTGGAGGTCCCTTCCAACCCAAACATTCTATGATTCTATAAACTGGACTGCAGTGATTCCATGGTTCTAAAAATCTGACTAGGAAGTGAAGGACATGGCAGAGGCTATTCAACCAATTCTCTGCACCTCACCTTCCTGCCATATCGTGCCTCTTCCAATACTCTGTTCATTTTCCCACAGTTTTCATCACCTGTTTTTAAAAACAGGGATAGAACTAATGGGCTTGCAGAATAAACTCATGAGAGCTGCCTCAGGGATGATGTACAGTGTACAGGTCCAGAGATGTAAACTAATCAATGGGCACATTTAAAAAAAAAATTTGTTCAGATGAAGATGCTGGAGCCATTGCAATCCCAAGAGACATTCTGCCTCTTTGGCATGGGAACTTCATGCAGTATCTTGGGGTTCTTCAAAAGATACCAAGTGCCCTTCCACAGGGTGCAGCATTCTCACCTTCTCTGAAGCATCCTGCTTGCGAGTGGAGTCTCGCCCACGAAGGCTCTTTGCACTGATCCCTGACTCCGATGTTTGCATGATCAGTTGTGTGGCCAGAAATTGCTGCAAGAAAACCACACTCTGTTAAGATTCTCAGGCAAAACAAGCTCAGTTAGTGTGTGTCAGTTAACTATCACAAACCACAGGCTGGGAATGATTGGGTCAGAGGTAGTTTCAGTTCCTTGTCTGCTGCTCAGAATAAGTTCCTCCATTTACCTCAAAAGCCACGAGTCCTGAGGAACTATAAAACCCCAGTTCAAACTCTGCCAGTTGGGACAGTCTAATTCATGAGAAGTTTTAAATGGCATATATTCACAGGACAGTTTCACACACACTTTATACCAGCATAAACCAGCACAGCCACCAAAAGAAGCAATCGCGTCCCCTGTCATTCAATATCCCTGTTGCTTTTGTTCCTGAACCACACCCTGGTTCTTGCTGTCCTCAGCATTTCCCTGAAGGAAACTAAATTTTAAATGGGCTGAACCTACACAACATTCTGCTGCGTTAGTTTTAACTTTGCCACCAGAGGCAGCAGAAGAGAGTTTTTTTTCATTCAAAGACACTGTCAGTGAAACTGGCCTTAGGTCCAGCAGTCTTTCCCACACCTATGGTCCAAGGCAGGTACCCTGTCCTGCACTGGCCTCAGCTCAACACTTTACCTGGATCTGCTCCAGGACATCTCGCTGCATCTCCACAGCCATGTGGTACACATCATGGTCAGAGCTGTTGTACATAACTGCGTTTTGAAACATCAGCATAATATCGCGCTGGAACTCAGCCGTGGTTCGTATCAGCCCGTTCTCAATGTTCTTTTTGATGGTAGATAAATCCATTGGCCTGTGAAAGAAAAGCAACTAGTGTCAAAATAGCAAGAGAAATATTTAACTCTTTCCTCACCTTTTTGCAAACAGCCCTGGGTCTGTCATGTGTCTAGTTAGACCATCTATTTGATTTGGCCGAAGGGGTTCTCTGCTACACAGGCTGTGTTTTGGAGTACAAAGGCCCCAGCTCAGCAGACACAAACTGTCCAGCAGCTACCTTCAATTGTAACTGACGCCTTCTCCAGGCATCACTGAGGGAGACACTAAGGAGCTAGAGCTGCAGGTGCTGAAATATTTAGGAGAGATTTTGGGGACTAGCAGGGGATTCTGCTCATTCTTCCAGAATAGTTCACTATCTGGGACAGGAAAAAATGTTGATGGTCCTTCGGAATTTCAAAGACTAAATCCTATCCTTGGACAGACAGTGGGAGGAGCAGATCAGTCATGTATGACCTTACTGATAAAAAAAGTGTTCTGTGTAAGTCAGTGTACTTCATTCACAGACATGATTGTGTAAAGACATGCTACTGATGAGGACCCTTTTCTTTGGGAAACCTGTATCTGACAGAATCAAGCCAGGAAAAGATCATTTTCCCACTCTTGCAGTCTGCATGGCAGGCAAAAGCTACACTGTTCCTGCCAGAAATCCCTACACAAATATGCAAATATAGAATTCTAATGACAGAAGACTACTGAGACTCACCTCTGCACAATACTGTGGTAGCCTGGTGCTATATCATCAGTTACAGGCTGAAGGAAGACATTGGCATACCTGCAGAAAGAAGTTCACTTAGTGCCCTGTCCTTGTTGGTGAAAATTTGCTTCATGCTCATGTTTGTTGTGTGCTAGCAGTAATAATATGATTCCTCATCTCCCTGTACCAAGGCAGATGAGCCTCTGAGATGGGAAAGTAGAGACTTGTCTAGGATTAGTCACTTCCTTCTGCTCATTCTCAAGACACTGAACTCACCTGTGATTAGCTGCTGCTCTCCAAACCAGCATGATAGCTTTCTTCCAGATCTTCTGGGCCTGTATTGCTTCCTGGTCCTCGCTGCACACTGAGCTGGGAAGAAAAGACCAGGACTTCATTCAGAGTCTGCATGTTACCTCAGAGCAGAAACCTTATTATTTATTTTGCCTCTGACAGCCTACACTAATCCATGGCAAAAAACAAAATGAAGAAATGGGGCCTGGTATTACGGTGCTGTCTGCGCACCTGCACTTGTAAGCAAGGAGAACCAGACAAACCAACAGAAGGTCCCTTTGTACCCACTCAGTCAGCGAGTGAGAATCCTGTGCCCCCTCCACCAGACAGCGTGGGATCTGCTCCTGCGTGCCCGAGGACTGGAGCGATACTCACAACTGGGAGGAGGCTGGGCTGCTGGGGATGGAGTCAGCCAGCGCGTGAGACTGTAACGGCGCGTTGTGGACACTGAAGCCGTCATCGCTCTCGCTCACTGGGGGTTCGTTATCCATCTCTGACAGATACCCCTCACCCTGGTCTTCTTCTTTGGGTTCCTCCAAACTGGCAGCCTCACTGGCACCATCCTCATCATCCTCTTCTCCCTGCCCATCCTGAAATGTACAGTTCATGAGTCTGCACAGCCAGCTACAGCAGCAACTCAGAGCCTCCAAAGCAACTATGGATCAGCAAGCAAAGAGACTTTCTTGCTATGCTGCTGCCAACTGTACTGGCACTGTCACAAAATCCTAGTTGCTGTATCCTGCCCTGCCTCCCCCTGCAGACACAGAAACACACACACATGCAGAGCTTTATAGCACCTGAAGCAATCTCCCCTTTAGCTCCAGCTGCAGACTGCCCGCTTCTCAGTGCGGAAGGCTCAACACAAGCTTTGCTTTTCAGCAGTGGGAACCAGGAAGCAGCAGCAGCGATGAGATGTTACTAATAAACTCAAGATGACTACAACCAATTGAGATTACCTTCATCTGACTCCTAAACAGGGCTTGGGCCTCCTCCTTCATTGACTCTGTGAAAGAAAGAAAAGCAGGAAGGTTGATTCTCCAAAGCAGTCTTTCCTAACAAAGCTCCTGCACCAATGCCTACAGTCCTGCGGTAATTTACCACTGTTCCTACACGTATCTTTTCTCCCTCCTCCCCAAAAAAACCTGAACCAGATCACTGACAACTATCCAGCTAATAATGTTGCATGTAAAAGATGTCCTAGCTGAATTAAGTTACCTGACAGCTCAAATTTGTGCTGAACATCAGCCTGTGAGGAGTCTTCACTCACATTTGGGACTTGTGGAGGGGATGAATCATCATCAGGTGGGGTCTGGAGGGAAGAGAAATGCACAAATCTAGACGTTTGTGTCAGCTTCCTTCAAGTGAAGGTGTGGGCACATCTCACTCACCCTAACCTAACTCAAGGCAATGAAGTTCACTGAGCACCTTCCCAACAGCAATTCTGTACGTGGGCTGGGGGTGGGGGGGATACACAGAGGTACTGCCTAAAGCAGAGAGCTTCTCTGCAGATCGAACAGATCAGCAGCATGACTCCCACGAAAACAGTCAGTCACATTCATGGAAGGGTCAGCTTCAACCCAGCAGTCATCCTTCCTCTAAACTTCTCTCCTACCTGCCACAACTGCTCCCTTCTTCCCCCACACCAGTTCCAGACAGCCTCTCTGCTTACATACCTCTGTCTTCACTGTATTGTGCACTGCATCTTCTCCCTTGGACGATTCTATCTCGATTTCAGAAGTCTCTCCTGCTGCTACAGTTGCTCTTTGATCCTCTTCTATCTCTTGACTTCTAAGCTCTGGTGTTTCTGTCACTCGTGCAGTTGCTGGTATGGTTTCCTCAGGGTCCAGCTGACTCTGTTCCTGCTCTGCAGGTTCTGTCTTTATTTCTGATCCCAGCTCGCCAATGCCCATTAGGTCTCGAATTCCCTTTGCCTCTGGTTCCTCACACTCCAGTCTTTCCTGCTTCACAGTCACAGACACTTGGGGTATCTGGGCCTGTTTCTCATGCTCCTGACGAATTGAGTGCTCCCACGGGCCAGGCAGGGTCTGAGGGTCATCGGTATCTTCACAGAAAGAAGACAGAGCTGCTTCAACAACTGCTGCATCCAGGACTTCAGGGTGGTCATCTACCTTTATTGCCAAAACAAACAGAGCAGCACAGACCAAGGTCAGAAAGAGGGATTAAAAAAACCTTCATGTTATTTGGCAATGAGACAATTGTGGAAAACCCACTGTACTGGGTTTACAAAGCTGCCTTCTGCAGCCAGACTCATATCACACCTTGTGGAGTCTCCCAAGGAGCTTCAGTTTCAGAGGTACAACACCCCTAGAAAGTATGCTGCAAGCAGTGCTCCTTTGTCTTCCAGAGACCTGACCCAAACCCTACCCAACATGAGGAAGAGAGAGATTTCTTTCTGCACTCTGAAGAGAAGGATCAGGCTAAACATGGCAGACTAGAAGCAGCAGTGTCATAGGGTCATTTCCTATTGATCTGGACAACAATGGTGAGTATGTACATTTTGGTATAGTTATTTCTTGACTGTTTAAGCTAACTACATTGGTGAGCAGTTATCACTTGAGATTAACCTAACTGGATGTGGAGCAAAAGGCACTCTGCTTTGCCCATTTACCTTGTCCTCAATGATGGCTATAATATTTCCAACGGTATCGAAGTCCAGCTCTTCCCCTGTATAGGACACTGCGATATCCATTTTCTCAGCTAAATCCAGGTCTTCTTTCCCGTCCATGCAGTGATCTTTGGAAGACCCTGCAGTGCTGCCAGCCCCAGAACCCAGGCATTCTTTCTTGATGGAATCAATGATCATGGATATTTCACTGCTGTCCATGGACACTGTCACAGTATGGGAATCAGATACTGCCTCTATGGAAACACAGGCTTCTGGCTGGCTCACTGCACAAGGATGAAAGTGACAGTCAGAGACCAATCTGGAGAAGTCAAGCCTGCATAAACAACTACTGCAGTGGAGAAGACCAGGTACCAACCACAAGTATCCCAGGTCCACCCACAACAGCATAGCTTAGAAAAATAAAAGACAAATATGGGTTTGCTTTCCCACAGTAGAGACAAAGCGAGATTCCAGCCCTTGAACCACAATCCATGAGCACCCCCACCCCCACCCAGAAAATCCTGTTTAAAACCATCTGTTTACTCCAGAACCCAGCTGTAGCCATCCGTTCGGCAAGGACGGCGAGTCTGAGGGGACAAAAGGCCAGCTGGGAGCTTGCCGGGTGCCGATCCCACGGGAAGTTCTGCTTTCCAGCAGTGCGTAGTTCAGGGACGCACCTGTGGCTACGCTTTCTGGAGCTGCAGCTGGTGGCACAACGGATGGTGCTGACAGCGTGGGCATCATGACAATGGTTGCCTGGGACACAGGCTCTACGGGGGGTGGCAGGAGTTTAGCTGGAGGTTCGCTGGCAACAGCGGAGAAGGAAGCAAGAGGTGAGGTGAACTGTGCAGGACCAGCTTCTAAAAGCCGGGAAAGCGTAGGAGCACCTAACAGAGAGTACAAGGGAAAAGCACATGAGCAAGAAGCAGCCACCACTGAAGTCCACAAAACCACCACTGGGCTCTTCACCGTCTGGTGGCTTCTTCTGAGAAAAGACACTGAGAGGTACCTATAAATGGTCCCAAAAGCTATAGGGAGAACCATGACTCCTTTGTGTGTGCAGTCTGAGACAGAATCACACAGACTACGGGACACTGTTCAGTGTGAGGGCCAGACAGGCTAAGCCACACATGCAGAGAGGCCCTTCCAAAGGCTCATCCCAATACAATTACAGGAAAACTAACAAACAGTGCTGAGAGAGCCACACAAGGTAAGCCAAGACAAATGGTCATCACAGGAGCTGGAAAAGAGTAGAGGGGATCTCTTTCCAAGTCTCCCCTGGAGAATTCCTCTTATACCAAAGTCTGCCACTCATCTTAGCTCTAGCTTCCAGTCTGAATTTACTGAACTGTCTGGACCAAATTAACAGGTGTTAAACAGATGTGGATAAGGAAAGTGAAATTATTCGTATGGAATTATACATGTATGAATGGTGTAAATTATCAGTACCAGACAATGTGTTTAAACCACTGGTTAGCAGGAGCTGAGAAGAAACTTCAGGCAGGTTGTTCTGAAAAGGCCCAAAGCGAAGACTCCTGCCCCTCTCAATCCTTCCTCTGTGGAACTTACTCTGTTAGCTCAGTCTGCTGTGGTCTAATCCTCAACAGACCTCTAAGCTAAAGCAGAGATAAAATGCATGAATTCTCCAGAATGACATGGAGTCGCAGTTTGACACATCAGTTATCAGATACCAGACCATTTTTTCCCTCTCTGTCAACTAACCCTTTCTTTCTACACTGAAATGCCTGGTATTAGCCAGTGTCAAAACCAGAAAACTAGAATGCATGCACCAGGATCAAATCAAGAATAATCGTTTCATTCATTTTAGATGAAGGCACTCTTCCTTCTGTAAGGATTAGAGTTTTCTTACTAAAACAGTAGGTCTGAGAAGGACAGGGATACAGAAATTGCAATACAACTCATAAAGAAGCCCCAAAACCAGCCAGGCTAGATGTCCTTCATCTCTCCCCAGAGAGAACCCATAGAACAGTCTGAAGGTATATCTGAAGGGAGAACTGTACAGGGAGAGTCCCGAGTTACCTGAAGCAGCAGGAGATGCAGGGACAGCACCAGGTGCCGACTGCATTTCCCCACTGTGCAGCACTGGAAGGACACTTCCTACCTCCAGCAGGACTCCTGAGCTGTTCATGTGACCAGAAGCCACTGCCATTTCATTTTCACCGACCTGCCAAAGGAGGACACAACTGAAGCTCCTGGAGATACCACCACATCAGTGATTCTCTGCCAGATTATGCACCTCCATGAATATGTCCATCATTTGCTGTCTCAGCATCTCTTCTGCACTTTTTGTCCAGTCTAGTCCCTGCCTGAGGCCCCTTATGCAAGTGCACATGACGGTGTCAAACTTGCTGGGGTTTGTCAGCTACAATACAGCTGCAGTGCCACCTTCCTTTGAAGTCAGTCCACATACATCATTTGCTCTATACCAGTTCACCTAACACAGGAACACATCAGCAGGCTGATGGCTGCTATTTTCAGACTGGGCCCTGAACAGCGTGGACAGTGGTCACCTTTCTAAGGCTCCCAGAGTCACTAACACCAGCTGACATCACAGTGATTTTAATAACTGTCTACAATTAGAAGAAAACAGAAAAACTTCAATACTGGTCATAAACCCCATTACAGAACTCTCCACTCCTATGCTAAGGCCCATTACAAATACTGAAATTCAACTTTCTGCCAAAATGTAAGAATTGTGAGGCCTAGGTAGAGATCATGAAGAATGTCTCCATGGAGGCTGATTGGAATGATGCTGACCAACATGCTCCCTCCCCCAGGGAGAATCATTTCCTCTAGCAAAGTCTGCAACTCCAACTCCTTACACCTGAAAGGAGATAGCCAGTCCTACATACTGAATGATCCCCACAGTCCTGCACACACAGTACTGCCAGGAAAGGGTCCTACCTCTATGGCTCACAGGGGTAACTATATCTCTCAGACCCCACTTCTGTTGGGACTCTGACAAAAACTGTATGTTTTTAAAAAGCCTTTGCAGCTCCCCTTTTTCTGTGAGAGAGTCTGGAGCAAATAGTTTGTGTGCTTGCATATATGAGCAGAGAGCTCCATACCAGCCTGGGGCTTGTGGGCAGGAGACTGCCCTTCTTCAGCAGCTCTGAGAGCAGAGGGGAAGGAGGAGGAGTTGCTTTTTGTCCTAGCATCTTTTTCTGGGGTGAATCATCAGTGACTGGGGTCATGGGGGCATCCAGGGGAGCAGAGCCTGGAGGGGTGTCAGGGATTCCAATGAAGGAGGCAACTGGGGTGCTGGGCAATGTCCCTGGAGTGACCTGAGAAAGAGAAAAAAACCACACTGTTCAAAGATATGCTCCAGCACACAGACTAGCCCCACTTACTCCTTCCCCCAAGAGCCCTGATCCAGCACACCACAGACACCTACTCCAGGCACATGCTTTCACCCTCTCCCTGCCCTGTACTGTTCCCAGGCACACATGGGAAGACTGCCTGGACAACCCACTGATGCCCCTAACAGCCTTTGATCCAGGCACCTGATCATCACAGACATGGAAGAGGACATGTATCTCGAGCAGCACTCTACATCAGCCACACTACAGCACTACCACAGTGAAAAGTCTGCAAAACAAGGCACAGGTTTCTCCCCAGGCTGCTGTTCTGTAACAGATGCAGGCCCCATGTCCCAGGCTGCTCCTTCCCTCTTACCATGGGAAGGATCCTTACCCCTGGACTGGCCTCATCCACAGCGGGCTGTGACAGATCTCCCAGAGCATAGTCTCCCCCAGGGGAGGTTGAGCCTGCAGGGGAGCGAACCATCACACCCGTCAGGCGTCGTGGCGGGTTCTTAATGGCCTGACGGGCTAGAAGAGAACAGAAGACAGTGTTTGAGAGCTCTCTCTCATTTTATCCTAAAGAACTCTAAGAAAACAGTTCATACTGTAGGAATCTCTGGCACCACACTAGGCTCAGTTCACAAATAATAGCATAATAATACTAATACTACTGTAAATAATACTGGGTAATGCACTTTAGTTTCAGATTTCCCTAGCAGCTGGGCATTCACTACCTCCCACCACTGGTGGGTTGCTTTACTGAACTGCCTCAAGAATTATAAATGAATGAAACATTCAGAATAAGTATCTTTTCCTTTTATCTTCACACAGTAGTAAAATTATAGGTAAAACTAAAGGGTTGAAAAGCCTGATATTCTAACAGAGAACTCTTTGCTAATTCCACTTCCTCTTAGATACAGTTTTCCTATAAAAAGGTTCCTTCTCAGAAGTGTCTGCTTTTTGCCTTGACACAAATACAGTGCTGGAAAGACAATATAATCTGTCTTTCTGACTCCTAGGGTCACAGAATACCTCCTGAACAGGTCTTAAAAAGACTTATTTCCAAAATGTTTTTATGAACATATGCATCTCTAAGGAGGAGTAAGGAAGACCATTTCCAGCTTACCCTGATAAGCAGCATCTGTAGCCTTTCTCTTGACTTCTGCCTCCTCCTCCTCCATTTTTTTCTTTCTGTATACAGAACCAAGATCTGCTGTCACACAGTGTCCCACTTCCCCTCAGTTTCTCCTCTGCAATCAGCTGACCCCCACCCCATTATCTCCAGACAACAATGACCTGCCTCTTTGAATGCCAGCTCAAATCCTCTGAGGAGGGGAGCAGAGCCAGAGGACAGTCAGAGAACAACACACCTGGAAGGAAATTGCCTCCTCTGTTTTGATAATCAGCTGGAAGTGAAAGCATGATATTGCAAGCCATCACCGAGTTCTTCACTGAGAAACTCCAAAAGAAGTTCAACACAAGCTGGTGCCCCCCAGTCTAAATCAAATCCACCCTCAAGAGGCCGAAGCATCTGCCCAGTTGCCTAGTTTCTTTTAACCCAATGTATGTGGTGTCTGACAAGCACACAGCATCAGGCAACTACAATCTCAGCAGAAAGTGTAACATGGAAATAAATAAATAGCCTACATCATAATCTCATTGCACAGCTCCTCCAGTCTGTCATCCATGTGACCGGCCTGGATCAGTTCTGCATCTTTCTTGAGTTGCCTGTAATCACAAAATCTTCTTACTTACTTATCAATGAAGCCCTAAGTGGCATTTTTCACCCCAAGCACCATCCCACTTAGGCCACTTTCAAGACAGGCTCAGAGGTTAATGCCTCTGCCACATACCTGTATTTCTCCTGTGTTTCTTTAATAATTTTCTTCAGTTCCTCAACTCGTTCTGCAGTCAGTTTCCGCACAATAACATCTTCCACAGTTTCCACAACTTCTCCCTTCTCACCACGTTTTCTCCTATAGAATAAGAGAAAAACAAAACAGTTCAGACATGAAACACAGAAAATCCTGTTTCTCCTTTCAGTAATGGCTGTTTTCATTCCTGAAACAAACATCCAGAAAAAAACCAAACCAAACCAAAAATTTCCTTTCGGTCACTCTTAAATGCTATTGGACACCACAATGTTCAAACAATCTCTTCTTAAAAGTTTATCTAATTCTTAAATGTGTCTAGCATTAGAGACTTGAGGAACAGATTAAAGATGCAAGCCCACTGCAAATTCTCAACCTGAAAAAAAAAATCAATCATTCCAACTTCAGAGAAGATTCTTACTACCCATGAAGAAACATTCAGGGTTTTTTCCTCAGTAACTCTACTGGAGTCCCCTGTATTGCAACTCTAGTGCTGGAGATCATTCAGCACTACTGCAAACAAATACAAACTTTAAACATCCTGCCTTTAATTTAATTTGATATGAAGTCTCAAAATGTCTGGTTTTAGAAGTGAGAAATATCTAAGACTACAAAGCTGTAGCTACAGTGCTGCTAAGTAAACTGTAAGAAACCACCACAAAATAGAGACAAATACAAAATGTTTCCCCTTATCACTTTTGCTGTCTTTTTTACCTCTATTCTGAATGATAATTCTATGTGCAAAGCTTCCAATCAATAACACTAACATGTAGTGTTTTATTCCAGCCAAATAAATGTTTCTTTTTTGCTGCATTAAGTCCCCAAATGCTCACTGCAACTCTTACAAATGGAGGTGTGGCTAAGAGGCCCCAGTCATCCTGTCAGGTACTGTATCAAAAGCAGGGGCATATGGAGGAGACTAACAAGTACACAGTGACCAGTTTTGGAACCATGCAATACTGAAATACTTTGATCTTATGAAATAAAGAAGACAAGATAAGAAGTGGGAAGCATGTTCTAAGAAATACCTCAGGCTTGTCCATCTCCCCCACCTGCCCATTCCCCACCCATGCCAGCTATCATAACAGAATTTCCTCACTCCTGCACATTCCTTCTGCAGAGTGCACTAGCAAATCCTTTGCTGTAAGCACCAACAAGTCCCCTCAAAATTCCTGCAGACTGTGCTTGCTTCAGACTTTGTACTCACTTGGGGGTCTCCGTAGTCTCCAAGAGCTCTGAATACTGAGATGCACAGTGCTAAGAAGAAACAAAGAAAGTCAGAGGGCACCAAAGAGCCAGCTTCTGCAATCATCTATCAACAAAGCCCACTGGGCACTTCTTCAGAGGTCTAACACCTCACAAACATATTTGACAGTCTTCTCCAGAGCTTCCCCCACAGCTGTAATTTAGTGTAGCACAAAGTGAGGAAGCATATTCACTCTGACTCTAGCACTGCCCAGGCTGATCTCCAAAACAAAGCCAAAGAACAGATGGTCCCAACTAACAACTCCGAAACCAAAGCAAGCAAACATGATTAGGGAACCTGTAGCCATGATGTTTCCATCTGTGAAGGTAAACAGAAAATATTTCAAGGGAAAAGACAAAATACTGTTCTATCAAGGCCAGGTTTATAGCTTAACAGAAACACTAAGCAACATAACCCTCTTCATGTTTTCTCCTTTGACTCTCTTAATCTCTCTGTCTGTTATACAGCAAAAATTCCAGGTGCTTGCCCAGAGAGCAGGACACACCAAAATACTTGGGCATTCAGAAATTCCTGTGGCAAGGAATTCCACAGCTTAATTATGTGCCCGGTGAAGAACAATCTCTTTAGATTTGCTTTGAACCTGGCTCCTGTTAGTCTTACTTAATAGCCTCTAAATCTTGTACTGGACAAAGCATAATTAATCCTTATTCATCCTCAGCTTCATGCCTCTTCTGATTATTCAGACATCTTTTGTATCTTCCACTACTCATCTCTTTTTTATGCTGAAGGATTTCACCTTATTTAGCCCTCCCTTATGAGGCAGTGGTTTCATGCCTTTGATCATCCTTGTCTTTTCCTTAACCTTACGCAACTGTACTGCAAGCTCAAATTTAGTTTCAGAAACAAAAAAAAAATTGATTTATACAAAACTGATTTTTAAAAACTAACTTTTCTATTTTTTTTTTTAAAAAAAAAAAAAAAAAAAGAAATGACACATTCTCTTAGGCAGCTGTCTTACATACCCCATGCAGAACCTGCTTTTTTCTAAGACTCAAATGCCACTATCTTACCTTCTGGGAAAACCAGTCAGGTGGGCGTCCTGGCTCTGCAAAAGGTTTGATAGCTCTGCTGACAGAGACCCTACAGAAGAGAAATGGCAAGTCACCATCAACTTACTTTCTTCCCCAACCAATGCAGAGAGAAGACGCTGACCTGTCTTGACGTTCATCACTGAATAGCCCCCATAAATCCAATGAACTGGCCAAGAAGTTACGTTTGAGAATCAGTGAAGTACAGCCCTTGGACTCAAAAAAATATGCCTGCTCCCAAAGAATCAACGGCTTTCTGCCTTTACTTTGAAAAGTAAGTTTCTAGCTTCTGATGACACCATTACGTTTCCACCAAAACTGTGTTGGTGGGAGGAAAAAGGTAGGAAAAAGGAGCAACAAGTGCAGAGGTAATGCATAGGAGTCTCTCATCAAATATCCTTCTTGACCACAACTCATCTCTCCCCACTTATGTTGGAATAACGTTACTCTTTGTTCTAACTAGTGTCAGAGTTTAGTCGTGGGTTGGGCAGAGTTGGGTTAACAGCTGTAATCAATGATCTTAAAGGTCTTTTGCAACCTAAAAGACTCTGTGATTCTATGATTAACGCACTTCTGCTTGGACACAGTAACTATGAAAGAAGAAAACAGATTTCCAAGTCTAATACTTCCACCTTTAATAGGCCAGCTTTGTTTCGAAGCCAGAGTGCACAGAGAGCGGCAGTGTTTACGAATAGCTGTGGCACAGCACCCCGGCCCGGTGCAGCCCCTAGGCCCGCGCTCTGCCTCGGAAGCCCGGTGCCTGCGCACACCCCCCGCCCCGCCGCG